TTCATGTTAGGTACTCGTCTGTTCATGAGGGCGGGTTTCCAAATGGCTGGAAGGCGGGAGGTGTCATCTCGTTTGTTCATGCTGTGTGGGCGTTTTTCTATCTCTATGGCTTCTCTGATTATTCTGCTGTTGAAGTGTTCGGTTTTGGCGATAGTTCTGGTATTTTTAAAGTCAATTTCATGTCCTGTGGCTTTGAGGTGTTGGACCAGGGAAGAGGTCGTTTCTTCTTTTTTGATTGAGTTCTTATGTTCTTCAATGCGTGCACTTATTCTTCTGTTAGTTTGTCCAATGTATGTGGTAGGGCAGGCAGTGCAGGGGATTTCGTATACTCCTTGGTTTTCTAATTCGATTTTGTCTTTGGGGTTTCTTAGGATGGTGGATATATTTCTGTTTGTGCAGAATGCTGTTTTAATGTTGTGTTTTTGGAGGATCTTGCTGATTTTGTCTGTAGTGTCTTTTATATATGGGAGGAGGGCTTTGCCGTTTTCTTGTTCTCTGTCTTGGATTTTGGTTGGGGTTTCTTTTTGGATTAGGTGGGTAATCTTCTTTCTTTGGAATCCATTGGCTGTAAGTACGTTGGTGAGAATGTGTAGTTCGGTTTTTTGGTGTTGTTCATCGGCTAAGCATTTTGTTCTGGAGATGAGTGTCTTGGCTACGGAATTGATCTGTGCTGGGTGGTGGTGTGAGAGTGCATGTAGATAGCGGTTTGTATGTGTTTTCTTCTGGTAGATGGTGTGTCCAAGGGAGCCATTGGATCTTTTGTATACCAAGACATCTAGGAAGGGAAGTTGATTGTTGGCTTCTGTTTCCATGGTGAATTGTATTTTGGGGTGTAGGCTGTTGAGGTGTGTGAGGAAGTTGTTCAGTTTTTCTTTCCCATGTGGCCAGATTATGAAGGTGTCATCTACGTATCTGAGCCAGAGTTTGGGTTTGTGGTCGTATTTTTCTAGAGCTTGTGTTTCAAAGTGTTCCATGTAGAGGTTTGCGATGACAGGTGAGAGGGGTGATCCCATGGGTGCTCCTTCTATTTGTTTGTATTTTTGTCCATTGTAGGTGAAGTATGTATTGGATAGGCAGTGGTTGGTCAGATCTAGGATGTGCTTGGGAGGGTTGTATTTGTTTTGGATGGCTGTCAAGGCTTCTTTTATTGGCACTTGGGTGAAGAGGGATATGACATCGAAGCTTACTAGTAGGTTGCTGGGTTGTAAGTTTTGTTTCTTTATGATCTCGATGAACTGGAATGAGCTTCTTACGTGTGAGTTCATGGATTCTGCATATTATATATATATATTCAGTTATAGCTGAAGGATGAGCTTTCATACTGTATGGAAATTGATAAATGTAAAGCTTTGTAAGAATTAAGTGGCTCTAAAATCTGTGTATTCTTTTCTCTACTTCCCTTTCCCTGCTGCAGCATCCTCCATTCTCCTGCAGCCATTGTTCTCCATACCACACTCTGCTCCTCCTCCCCTCCCCCTGCTTATTTAACTATATTGTTACAAAATGTTAAGCTTCTCTGCTACTATAATTATAGTCTGCTATTTTAAAGATTATTCTTTCCACAATGGAAGAGGGAGATTAAATAGGGTAGAGCAGCTTCCCTCAAACTGGGGCCCTCCAAAGGTATTATGCTATAGAATTCCCACTGTAGAGAGCAATGAAGTTCACCATGAGACAAATATGCAAGAGTCATCATCAAAGAAAGGAAGCTGAAGTCCAGAATTCCAGAAGAAACTTTGTGACTGTTGCCAGCTATGGAGGCAAAGAAACATATGTTCAAGATGAAGATTTTTCAGAGGTTTGAGCAACATGGCATTTGGGAGAATATATTGCATGAGTACATAGTAAGTAGCCAATTTTTGTTTATTTTTCTTGTCAGCCACTCCAGCATTAGATCTATGGATTTCCACTTTGTACCTATCTTTCATTTTAGAAAAGACAGTGTTGCAAGAGGTGTAACTCTGCTGCATTTCTTGCAGTAGATGATTGTTCTTGTTATTATAGTAGAAGTGATTTACAAACTTCTGTGTCTATTTATTTTGTGATGCTCACAAATCTAGTCTTAAATCAACAAAAGACAGGAAACAAGACCAACATAGTTACAAAAAAAGCTCTCTGACAAATCAATAGACAAAAAGGTTAAACATAAAAAGAGGGACATATAACTAAAACAGAATAAAGGTAGTCCCCAACTTACAACAGTTTGCTTAGTGAAGTTACAATGACACTGAAAAAAGTGACATGACAATTTTTCACACTTATGACCATTGCAGCATTGTCATGTGATTTACATTTGGATGCTTGACATCTTGCTTATATTTATGACAGTTGCAATGTTTCAGAGTCACTTTCTGACAAGCAAAGTCAATAGGGAAACCAGATTCATTTAACAACCATGTTACAAATTTAACAACTGCAGTGATTAATTTAACAAATGAATTTGTTAAAATGAAAAGTTATAAAATGGGGCAAAACTCATTTAACAAAGTTCACACACCTGCATCAGCAAATAGCCTGAATATGCAAGGGAGGAATTAGGAAAGTTAAGCTCCAGAATAATTTATGTCAAAAATAACAACAACAATAACAACAACAACAAAGAAAGGCTTTTTTCTATATGTAAGGAACAAAAAAAGTCAAGGAAACAATAAGATCACTAATGGGAGCAGATGACAAGAATGTTACAGACAGCAGAGGGTAAGAAGAACTGCTAAATTGCTTCTTTTTTATATTTTTATGCAAAAGGAAGAAACAGCTTAATCTATGAAAAGCAGCTCAAAGGGAATTAGAATAGGTACAGAAGACAAAATAGGCAAAATAGTAAGAAGATCTCTGTCTACCCAGGAAGAGTATAAATCACCCAGACCAGGTGGTCTGTAGCCCAGGGTTCTGAACTCTACTAAGAAGTCATTGTGAATAAAACTATTCGCCTTTCTTTTTCCATCTCAAGTTTGTATGTCCTTTACTTCTCAAATTCTTTTTTTATATTCATATTTATTAAGAATTTTCATATAATAAAAGACAAAACAAAAGAGTTTCATGAAAAGAAGAACCAGGGTAATTTGATAGCAGTGTTCCAATATCTAAAGGGCTGCCACAAAGAAGAGAGGGTCACCCTACTTTCCAAAGCACTAAAAGGCAGGACAAGAAGCAATGGATGGAAACTAATCAAGGAGAGAACCACCTAGAACTAAAGAGAAATTTCCTGACAGTCAGAACAATTAACCAGTGGAAGATTTTTAGGAAGAGATTGGACAGCCATTTGTCTGAAGTGATACAGGATTTCCTGCCTGAGCAGAGGGTTGGACTAGAAGACCTCCAAGGACCCTTCCAACTCTTCTATTCTGTTCTGTTAAGCTGAAAGGCATAAACTCAGAGCCACTGAATATAAAAGCTACTGTAGCACAGAGTAACTACCTGATGACTGGAAAAGAGCTGATATGATACCAACATACAAAAAGGGGAAAATGGATCCAGGAAATTATAGGCTTATCAGTTTGACATCAATACCTGGGAAAATTGTAGAAAAAATAATCAGGCAAAGGATTTGTAAGCACCTAAAAATAAACAAGGTGACAACTGACTCAAATTTTTGACGGCTGCAATGTCCCAGAGTTATGTGATCACCTTTTGCGGCCTTCTGATAAGCAAAATCAATGGGGAAGTCAAGTTCGCTTAACAATCATGTGACTAATTTAAAAACTGCAGCGATTCAATCATCAAACGTATCAAGAAAGGTCATAAAATGGGGCAAGATTCACTTAACAGATTTTTCACATAGCAACATAAATTTTGGGCTCTATTGTAGTTATAAGTCGAGGACTACTTATAGTTATTATATGGCATATCTGTTTATTGTATACATTCTTTTGCAATTCCAGTGCAAAATCTAATTGCTAATTATAAATCAGAGGTTCAGATATAATTTTCTAAAATATTTAACTGATCTCTTTTCTAGAAGAACAAGATTCCATGTTATGGAATGGCTCCTTTTCATTTAGAAACCTCAAAACCTGTGCTCCTGATAAATGCTTTTCTGATTTGGTCCTTTCTTCCTAGGTTTAAAGGAAAAATGAATGAATTATGGACTAAAAACTTGGATTGTGGATTCTGATAGCTTGCATCACACACTAAACAACTGCATTGCATATTAAAATAGCATGTTAAAGGGAAGGAATCGTACACAACATGTACAGGCAGAAAGGAAGACACACCACTTACATTGGGTCCTTGCTCTGGTTTGTTATATATTTTTGTACATCTTCATAGTCTTGGTATTCAGAAGTTGCTGAATTCTAGAATAGTAAATAATAGATCAGCAGACACAGCATAAATTGATGCCCATAGAACTTTCTTACTGGAGTGTAAATTATCTTTATATTTCCATCTAAATTTTTTAAAAAATCCTTGGGCCATTCCTATTAGTTTTATCTAATAACATAGATTGCTTTGAGAACATACTGATCTTTACTTTTTTGACTCCTAATAATTACGAGTATTAAATTTCCCATACTGTACTAGAAATCTCAGGTGACATTTTCTTTGAATTATCCATTAAATTCCAGCTTATCACCTGGCACTCACAGTCTATCCCAATCTCATCAATTTACACAAAGTTAAGCATTTGCTTCTCTCTAACATCAAAAGCATCATCAAAAAAGCACAACAAAGAATGTTCTTTCTGTGCCAACTCAGAAAGCTCAAACTGCCAAGGAGCTGCTGATACAGTTCTACAGAGGAATTATTGAGTCCATCATCTGCACCTCTATAACTGTCTGGTTTGGTTCTGCAACCCAACAGGACAGACACAGACTTCAGAGGATAATTAGGATTACAGAAAAAAAATTACTACCAACCTGCCTTCAATCGAGGACCCGTATACTGCACGAGTCAAAAAGAGGGCTGTGAAAATATTTAGAGACCCCTCACATCCTGGACATAAATTGTTTCAACTACTTCCCTCAAAACGACGCTATAGAGCACCACACACCAGAACAGCTAGACACAAGA